GTTACCGTTTAAGCAAAACTTTCTCTTCCCTGCAGTGGGAATTGTGGAAGGATGAAAGGCTGTATAATAAAACAAAACCCAATTATCAGCTAAAGATGAAGTGTTATGTACTGTGTGCTTTATTTAGATGCAGTGTATGTTGGAAGGTTTACCCAGGGTTAGTGGATCCCTGCCGTGTGCTATTATGTGTAAAGCATTGCTTAGGCAGAGGATCTAAGCCTTCATGCATTCCCTAGTACCTAATCTCTCTAAAAGATTGGCCTTATAATTCCATGCACACTGTCAAAAGCCTTTTCTTCTTAAGATGAGCATGGCCTGGACATGATTGCAAGGAACGCTGTATTAAATGTTAAGTTTTGGTGGGTTTTTTAATGGCTTTTTCTGGCTCTCACTTGGTCACCATATATGGTTTCCTATCATGACTGGAACACCTGAAAGGATTTTGGCATATGGGTTGATAACTGCTGTTAACGGTGAAACTAGTTAGTGACTGAAACAATATTTTAGATTTTTGCCCTTTATAGTGTATTCCATAAGTGCTTGTGAGAGTAATTGCCTTTACATCAAAGTAAATGTTGAATTGTGGGGCTTACTGGGAAAATACTAAGGTGTTAAAAGTGTTACTAAACTAAGGACCCTGCATTCACTCTCTCTGGTCTCCCACAGTACACAGAACTTGGAAATGCAGTTATTTTAGTAAATATAAACTGCTAAATGCCTTTTCTCATCAGCAGTATATAGCAGTCTTATGACTTCATTCAGTGTCCAGCTGAGCACTGGTTAATCTTGTAGGAGGAGTTTTCATTCTCCTCTGACTGTCCTATGAGGCCACATGACCCCTGGCCCTCTGTTTGGACAGTGCTGATTGGCCCTGTGCTGATCACATGCACTCTCACAAGAAAAAAAAAAAACTCTCTAGCAATACACCCTAAACTGAGCATGTGCAGAGTGACTCCTAGAGCTCTGTACTATCAGCAGATGGATTGGGGACAGTAGAAGAACAGGAGGATCAAAGAAGTCAGGATCAAACAGCCTTTTTACACAATGCTGAGGATTAACTCCTTAGGTTCCACAGTGAGTATAACAAGCATGTGTTACCGCATATACAGACTGATTTTACTGTTGTGGGTTTAGTAACACTTTAAGGCTGACTTTTGTAAAAATGGATGCTGTAATTTGTGAGTTTAGTTTTGGTAGGCTTTCAGTAGCTAATTGGAACAAGACATTACATGTAAAAGACTTATTTTGCACTTTGTATAAATTTTAAGTACCTACAGTGGCTGGAACATCCAATCAGATTCCTCCTTTATTCCACTTTACGCTAAAATAAAGGAATCAACGCTATGCTTTCTCTGAAGGCTGAACCACATAGCGCCTTCTTTTTTGTTATTTTAGTCACTCTGCTTAAGCACATAGATCTGTTCTCCCTCTTGTATTGGTGTTAAACTGGGATATATTCATTTCAGTGGGTGAAACACAAGTAAGCTCATTGAACAAGCGCAATGATGAATGTTGGTGCCTTGCGTTTGCACTTAGTAAATTAGTTTTTCTGACTTAGTTAGCCTTGTGTTTATAATCTAATGTAATCTATGCTATTGTATTCCCCCACCCACATCTAGCGAAGAATCACTGGAACAGAAACAAATAATATAATCATCATATGCATTATTTATTGACATTTGAAATTACTGCTTTAATATGTATGACCCATATGCAAATGAATGATGTTTACACAGGAAAATTTATCCCACTTAAAGGTTAATACATTAGTAATACTTTGTCTCCATCTCCCTCTCTGGCATCATCGCAACTCTTAATTGGGCTATGCCTATATAGTTTTATTAATAGTGTGTGGAGAGCAATGACGTGTTGGATCTGTGGAATCAAGTCATGGATTTCTGCCTCACACTGCTCTGAATGCAGGAGCTCACAGCTGTCGAATCATACACCATTCCCTGAGAGATAATTACTGTTTAACCTCTGTGATTAAAGTGGCTTTCCTATTCATATGTGTTACGTTTAGCTCTTATGGTGGGAAGCTCATCATCTGTGTTCTGCTTGACAAGAACCATAGGCGAAGCTACCTGTTACAAACACAATAAAAGATTAAAGCAGCCCAATAGCTGGGGAAGTTGAACTCTGACCATGATGGCAACTGCTCCAATTCTCCAAGTACTACATGGAATGTGAATGACAAAGCTACTATAGGACCCAAATTATACCCATCTTACCAAAACTGCAGAGTATCTGTATGGTATGCTGTGTACTCTGCTGGCACCTCTGATAAAACTTTGGAGATTACAGTGTATTTCTCCCAGATCAATAATTTTTTTTTTATTATGTGGGTTTCTAAAAGTCTTTAAATATAGTTACATGGTTAGTATGGCTGAAAAAAGACAAACGTCCATCCAGTTCAGCCTAAAAAAAAAAAAAAAGTTATAATCCTATACCCGCCATTGATCCAGAGGAAGGCAAAACAAATCCCAGCAAAGCGTGATCCAAACCAATCCAATCCAATCCATGATTTCCCTCTGCAGGGGGAAAAATTCCTTCCTGATCCCCCGAGAGACAATCGCATATTGCCTGGACCAACTTTACCTATAAATGTTAGTATTCAGTTATGTTCTGTGTATCCAAGAAAGAATCCAGGCCTTTTTTCAAGCAATCCCCTGAGCTGGCCAGAACAAACTCTTGAAGGAGTCTATTCCACATTTTCACAGCTCTTTCTGTGAAGAAACCTTTCCGTGTTTGGAGATTAAATGTCTTTTCCTCCAAACTTAAAGAGTGTCCCCTTATCCTCTGTGATGACCTCAGGGTGAATAACTCTACACCAAGTTCACTATATGAACCACTGATGTATTTATACATGTTGATCACATCCCCCCTTAATCTCCTCTTCTCAAGAGAGAATAAATTCAGTTCCTCTAATCTTTCCTCATAGCTGATCTCCTCCCAGCCTCTTATCAGTTTGGTTGCCCTTCTCTGTACTTTCTCCAGTTCCCCAATGTTCTTTTTGTGAATTGGTGCCCAAAACTGAACTGCGTATTCCAGATGAGGTGTTACTAATGATTTGTACAGGGGTAATATGATATCTCTCTCTCTGGAGTCTATACCTCTTTTAATACAAGAGAGGATTTTGCTCGCTTTAGAAACTGCAGCTTGGCATTGCATGCCATTATTAAGCTTGTGATCTACCAGAACTCCCAGATCCTTCTCCACCATTGATTCCCCTAGTTGTCCTCCCCCTAGTATGTATGATGTATGCATATTCTTAGCCCCCAAGTGCATAACCTTACATTTGGTGTATGCCATCCGCTCCAGGTGCTTTATTCACCTTTAGAGTGATCGTAAACCTCAGACATAAAATATACTTCTGTAGTTTGTACTTGTCTCAGTCCAGATCAATAAGTGTCCTTTCTGTCTGCTGCTTTGTTCTTCTTTCATCAGCATAAGTCACTTCTGAAGAGTTTTCCTGACACCAGGAGAAAAATGGTGACTGGAGAGGGCACAGCCTGTGATTGACAGCTTCAGCTCTGCTCCTGTGAGATCTGTGAAGGGGGGGGGTGGTCCCTTCCCTTCCCTCCCCTCCAATCAGCTCTCCGAGCTCACATCACTGAGTGTAACCTAAGCTTTCCACCCTCTGATTTTCAGAATGAAGAGATCCTGTGTAAATTCTGCACTTTGAATGGCTATGGGGGCAGATGGCTGTAGATATACAGTTGCAGCTTCTGTAGAAGGATTTGTTTCATATCTTTGTATCATCTGAGGCCAGTCACTTCACTGGGTACATGTATGGGTTTACAACCACTTTAAGTGTAGAATAATGTTGTGAGTACAAGTTATCCGGAAAACAGGAATGAAGAAACCTAAGAAGCAAAATAATAACATGCCAAAAAAGTTTTTAAATATTTTACCATTGTTGACAATGGAAGCAAATCTTCACTAGCCCTTTTAAGGATCAACTGATCAATACACTAATGATCAATGGAACAGGCTGTATCACTCAGTGCAGGCAAGACTCAGTAGTTACATGTTCTTTTAGATGCCTGCTCCAACATCTCGGGTTTCCTGTGTTATCTGCCAATTTCCATATTACTTATCAAGAGTTCCTCTACTACCACCACAACGTGTTTCTGTTGTACAATATAGCTGTCCATCAAAATCCAGTAAGTAATGTATGAGGTGAAAGGTCTAGGTGTTGTGGTACAATGTTAAAAAATAAACAAAATAAAAAAAAATTAGTTTTTGGTGGCTGTGACGGACGCGGCGTCAGACCCCCCAGCCCTTCTCACCAACTCGTGACCGAAGGACTAGCCAATCTAAAACCGTGCTGTCACGTGCGTAACAATACCACGCTCAGCTGCACCCTGCACAAAGATTTTCCAGCTAATGGACCACAATCTATGTACCGCAGTCTGAGAGCGATTGTTACTGGGTCAGGTCAATTACGCAATTAACCCTTCACACTGCCACCACCACCTTTTTGTACAGAGTAGAAGGAAACTCGCCAATCTTAGCAGTAACACTATGATGTTTGAATAAGCGTCTGTATACACACTGTCACCGCAGGTAGATGTATGCAGAAGTTTAAAACACACGGTAGCGCTCTTCAGAGACAGGGATTCTTAGTTTGCATTAAAGAGCTTTAGAAACAGTTCAACATTTTTCAGATAATAGGATTTATTACTAAAAAGGTCAAAATGGTGCAATAAAAATATTTACAGAAAAAGATGTAGCACGGGGAAAACTTTGGCACAATTTGGAAGTGCCAAAAAACTTGGCTTCAGAGTAGCTTGAGATTCTGCCCATGACCAAATTGTTTTGGAGGCTGCTGCATGTATTTACAGAAACATCCAGCTTTTTGTACTTTCTGCCTGCAGAAGCAATCATGCCACTGTTATAGGAATAACCCTTTATGTGGCAAAACATAACATCCAAAAATCTGCATCATTAAGTGTGCATTCATAAATCCTTACGTACATACAGCTTTTAAAATGTTACTAAACCCACAACAGTAAAATCAGTCTGTATATGCAGTAACGCGTGCTTGTTATACTCACTGTGGAACCTAAGGGGTTAATCCTCTGCATTGCATAAAAAGGATGTTTGATCCTATCTTCTCTGATTCTTCCCTTCTACTGTCCCCAATCCATCTGCTGATAGAACAGAGCCTTGGGGCAAGGTGCACATGCTCAGTTTGGTGTGTATTGCTAGAGCAGGTTTTGTTTCTCTTGGGAGAGTGCATGTGATCAGCACAGGGCCAATCGGCACTATCCAGACAGGGGTTATGCAGCCTCATAGGACAATCGGGGGAGAATGAAAACTCCTACAAGATTTACCCAGTGCTCTGCTGGACACTGATAGAAGTCACAAGACTGCTCTGACTACTGATGAAGAAAAGGTAGTTAGCAGTTTATATTTACTAAAATAATTGCATTTCCATTTTCTGTGTACTGCGGCAGACCAGATATAGTGAATGCAGGGTCCTGGATTTAGTAACACTTTATATAACTGCATCTTACAGTACCTTTTGGTTACATTGGAGTATATATAGTGAACCTTTTGAAGATTGTTTTCCTCTGCATGCCAACATTCCTAGCTTTGCGGGTTTTCATACCTAGTAATCACTTGTGTATACTTCCGATGACAGAAAAGACTACTCATCTGGACTGAATTAGTTATGTTGGCGTTCTAGCATGTCAGTCGTTAACCGTAATGATTTTCACACTCTTCAGGATAACCGTGTTTTCTGGTGCAGGAGATAAAGATGGCATCTTTATCAACTTCCATGACAGCTGCAATTTGCGTTTTTGTAATCATTTTGACTTGCGTTTTTGTTGATTTTCAACAAAACCAAGTTAACTTGTGAATAAGGAAGGACGAGGTACTTAGGCGTGGTAATATACTTATGTTGCATGGTGCTTGTGTAAAATACATTGTTTTATCATCCTTTTCCTTACTGGCCACTAAAGAGGATCTATTGCAAGTGAAACAAGTTTATAGACATGCAAACTTAGGATCCTTACTGGGCACAAGAGAAATGATTTGAATGCAACCTAAGGTGTTTTTAAAAAACGTAGTGAAATGCGCAGGGAGGAAGGTGTAAGGTCGGTCTTAAGAGTCAGCCAAAACCGTATTAGCCAAAAACATTCTGCTTATAGAAGAGGGTTTGTGGAGAGCAGAATATGAACTCAGCACTGGCTATGGAAAAGAATAGTAATTGTCCCAGAAAATTCAGCCTGATTTTTGTCTTTCCCTCAAGAATGGTTTGGCCACGAAGAGAGCGCAAAAAGGTGTGAAGATCATTTTTTGTCTGTGGGCATGTTTGGTATATTCTCAATAATAGTACAGATCCCATACACACCATCACCTTTCTTCTTACTTGGATATCCATACCTAGATCAAAATAATAATCTCCTTATGTCCAAAGTGACAAACCATTCTGCTGGAAAAGAGTCACCCAAACGATGACAGATGTGTTTATTTGGATTAAATGGGAATATACTGTATGCAAAGCAAAGCAGGCCATAGAGTCAAAAACGGAACGATCTGTCAATCAATCGAAAATGGAGCATACGATTGTGCCAACATTTGTTTCATTTTTCTAAACAAAATGCAGCATGTGGGATCAAGCACTTCAATTGTGACATGAAAATCACGTGTCGCAGCTGGCACACTAGTGATGCAAAAATCGAACAACCAAGAATTTTACGTTTGGTTTCTGACTCGTCTATGGCCCATTTAAGTTTGATAAATGACTGTCTGGGAAATTTGTTGGTTTGCTAGAAGGGGAAATTTGGAAATTCTGTTAAAGCCTACGTATACATCTAGAGGAGTATATACAGGGCTTACTTGTGTCCGGTCTTCTGTGTTCAGGTGTGCTGGATGGTGTTATGTCAAAGACTTCCTTACTCTGTTCCAATTGTTTAACTCTCTACTTTTGGCATTATAGAATGTTTAGGCTGAAAATCCAAACAGATTTTTATACTTGAAGTTTTAAACCTGTCTGTGGCAACACAGCAGAATATGACAGCAACTGTACTACAGATGATTAAAGAAAAGGTTCTCTAGTAACCCTCTTTTTTTGTGAATTCCCTACTCATTCCATTATCAAATCCATCATTCCAGCCAAGTGCAAAAATTCTTGTATCTTTTGCCATATGAATTTGTAAAAGACTGTGCTGCCTTACCAGACATGTTCAGACTGCCATCTTTGTCTGTTTGATCTGCAGTTGCCATGGTGCTGCAAATACGATCAGCTATGACACCAGCCATTTGATGGCTTGACGGTTCAGTTGAGAGCCAACATAAGCACACTAGTAACTATAGCTGTTGTTATTCCTTGAATGTAACTGTTTTAGTAAATGGTTAATTCAGTGATCCAATGTAATGCTTTGCTTCACTAACTGTCAAATGTGACCATGTTTATTGACAGTTAAAAAACACACTGAACTACTGTTCTGAATACTAGAGAAAGAGAAAAAAAAAGAAACCATATTCTAAAGTCCAGAGAAAAATTCACTGAAAAATCTGCCAGTGGCTTAGAAAACAAAAGAAAATTGAGGGTTTTTTTTTTTAAACTGTGACATCTGGGAAAAATATCAGTAAGAGGTGGAGAACAAAAGTTCAGTTGTTGCTAATGGGAACCAATCAGCATTTACCTATCGTTTTTTTTTTCACTTAAAAATTTTATTGATTTCAACAAAGAGATGATACAGAGTAATAAAAGCGTTTAGAACTGCTGTAATTACATTTCTGAGCAGATGACATTCAGGTAGCACACTGAAGTCATATATACAGGATGCACACCAGTAAGAGATGGCGTGCATCCTGACCTGGGTATCAACCAAAACATAGAAAAAAAAAGAAAAAAGAGAGCTACATAAGGTACGTTGAAGCAATTGAAGCTAAGTATTGTCATAATATAATAGATGGGGGTGAACAGATGAGTTTCACCATAGATATTCCAGTGACAGGCAGAAACTATGTGATGAGAGGGTCACTGGAGAGATCATTTAGCCAGGGTGACCAATTTGCTAGAAATTTGGGGATTTTTAAATGAGCTTTAGCAAACATATATTCCATATTTAGATTTTGGTTAAGAATGGAAATAAGTTGTGGAATATTTGGTGGTGTTTGATTTTTCCAGGTGTGTGCAACAGATAGGCGTACTGCTATCAAGATGTGTGTGATAATGGAGTGGTACTGACTAGGCCATTGCTCCAGGCTAATTCCGAGCAGCACCAGTTGGGGTGTAAAATCATGGGATATACCTGTAATTCTTCTAATTAGGGACTGTACATCAATCCAAAAGGAAATTAAAACAGGGCAAGTCCACCAGATGTGTACTAGTATTCACCTATAATTTTATGCAAAGGTGAAGATGTCAGATTGGCTGCCAGGGGCTTTTTTTTTCTCCAGTTTTTGTGATACTGTCTGTAAAACTTAATAGAAATGTTCATTGTGTATGGTTTAGGAAAGAAAACACAAATGATGATGATCTGATATTAGTTCATGGAAATTTGCCAAATGCTCTACCCGCTAATACAAAAAACTGTAGCACTGTAGGTAAATGCAAAATAAGGCCTGGAGCTGTGCCAGATACGTAGTAATGGCATGTTAGCCAATATCTGATCCAATTATAGCTTTGATTAAAAGAGGGCGTGGGTTGTAAGTAGAAGCCTGGAAATTGTTCCAAGCAGATAAATGAATTAGAGATGTATATCAGAAGAGAATTTATTTGTGTTTGCTGGTGTCCTGTGCCAAGCTCCTCAGTTGGATTCTCACTGTTCCTTTTCTGTATCAATATGTTTGCACCACACTCCATCTTTCATATATTTTGCATTTGCTTCCAGTCTCAAGTCCCACTGTGTTCAGTAATATGATGTGTACTTCTATTGCTGTCTTGGCTTAACGTGCATAAACAATACTTAATGTTTTCTTGTGTTTGCAGGGATTGTGGTGCTGGAACCTGTACAGATAAATCTAGTATCATGTATGCATGGGCTAGAAACCCCCCCCCAACCAAGCTTCCAAAAGGTATATTGCTAAGTCTTGTTTTATGTATGTAATTACTATCATTATTGTGATGTTTCAGTATGAAATTATACTTTATTTGCTATAGATCTATAATAAACATTAGTTAAAATAATATTAAAGGCAATTTAAAAAAAAAAAAAATGTCATACTTACCTGTTCTGTGTAATGGTTTTGCACGGAGCAGCCCTGATCCTCCTCTTCTCGGGTCCCCCAATGGTGCCCATGGCCCCTCGCTCCTGCCGCGTGCTCCCAGAGCAAGCTGCTTGCCCGGGGGGCACCCAAGCAGGCTCACTCTGGAGTCGCTGCTCTGCATGTCCATTCACACACAGAGCCATGGCTTGGCTCTGCCCCCACTCTTTCCTCATTGGCTTCCTGGCTATAATGTACAGCAAATGAGGGGGGAGAGTTCCCAGGGAACAGTGTTGCCAAGCTACCTAATTGAAATTCACTGACACAATACCCACATTTTACTGGAACAGCCACATTTTCACTAAAATTCCCAAAAGTTAAAAAATAAATTCCAGTTTTAGGTGCAAATTTCAATATTTGGGCTACAAACAAGTACAATATTCAATTAGCAATATGATTTAAAGTAGATATTAAGGCAAAAAACTGATTTCTTATTTTGTAAGATTTCTGATATAGTTAAGTAGCTCAGGGACTGGACTCAAGAGGGCAAGAAATTAGAATGGGCAGGCACACACACATAAAAAATGACTCTCACAGTGACACTGACAGCAGTGTGCAGCAGCACAGATGATGATGACATCTCACCAACATAACCAGGTGGTCCCTTCAGTCTGCTCCAGTCCAAACAGCACTGACAGGCAAGCTGGGAGCAGGACTATCTCCTGTCCTGTAGACCCACACACGAGGCTCCAGCAGCTCGGCTCCCTTGCACCATGACATCACACGATACACTCAGGCACCGCCTCTGCCAGACCGCCCCCCCCGCCAGCACATCCAAACACTCTGTAGCAGGCACTCCCATGGTCTCAGCTGCCTCCGGAGCTGAGCATCACAGCCATATTTTTAAGTGCCAACTTTTTCCTGTCACTGGTATTTACTGGCAGGAGAAAATTGCCTGTTTTTTTACTGGCTGCCAGTAAAATTACTGATGATTGGCAACACTTCGGAGAGCCGAGGCTATCATGTACATCACTGGATCACGATTGGGCTCAGATATTGGGGGGGGGGGGGGGCGCTAAGGAGCTGTGCAGAAGGTTTTTTACCTGTATGCATGGAATGCATGAAGGTAAAGAACCTTGAGCCTTTGCAGCCACTTTAAAAAGTGTTTTTTTTACTTTTAAAACTCATTAGCTTTTGAAATATATTTAGGGACATCCCAAGTCAAATTTCAAATCATGTCTTTTTCATGTGCTTTCAAAGATGTTGTCTCAGGCCCATTGTAAAGGTTCTGTTTGCATTCAGCATGTCAAAATCTCCACTGTAACTACACAGAAGTATTAGAACAATGGAAGGTATCTTTAAATTGATTGATTCACTGTTTGATTCCATGTCCTTATGGACAAGAAGTGTAAAAATATTATTTGGATGTAGCTGATACTCCTCATGTAGTTATTAGAGTTTAGCTACAGTATAAAGAACACGTGCTGCCTAAGAACAAGGACCGCTAAGTGGATCCCTCCTAGATGTGCACTCTGGTTTTGACAATTGGTTGTCTCGCATCCCAGGGCTTGGTTAAAGAGATGTAGTGTGTGAACTGGCAGCAAAGAAATTAAATGAAATTGGTATGATGAACAGATGTTATCCTTATCAGCAGTTACAGTGCTGATGCAGACAAACTGTACGCACAACAATGTGTACACTAGGATAAGTCTGTGATGACAGCTTGGCAATTATAAACGCCTATCTAGGTCTTTTATCTCCTTGTGCTTTCAAAGCTATTGGTACCCTTGGATACAGAAAATGTTCGAAAGTGTTCTTAAAATACAGTTGTCCTTTTAAATGCAGTTCAAATTGTTTAAGCTGGACAGCATCCATACTGTTTAGGTTTGCTTTCTGACATTCGGCACCAGTGGTGCTGATTGGCTGCAGTCACTGTACGTTTCACTAGCTTCGGCCCAGCTATTTGAGTTTCTAAGCTGAAGTTCATCAAACCAGGTGGTGTCAACAGGGCAACCGATAGCTCAAATTTCTGCCAAATCACGTGAATCCGATGAAATTCCAGCTTAAAGTTGATCTTTATTCCGTTGATGCACTAGACATCAATGTGCTCTCCATATGCTCCACTTTCAAAATTTGTTTTCTTTTTTTATTTAATCTACTCCAGCTCCACCTCTATTCTCACCTGTATGAGAATGACATGTCCCTGCTCCCTCAGCCCCCTTGGATATCCCCATCGCATATCCCAGGAGGCTACATGAGCAAGGACACCCAGCAGCCAGTGGGAGAAGCTGGCATGCATTATCAGGGCCAGCTGCCTGAACCCAGAGGAGGCAGCTGGGCTCCCTCTAATTTTGCAGAAGGGGATTGAATCCAGGACAACCCAGCATAAAGGTATGGAGGATTAAACAAATAATAAAAGCGAGGAAGGTGGGGGACAGTGAAGCTCTTCTTTAAAAGAGAAGTGTGGGATATGAAAGAGAGAAACTTACATACTAACCTAGGTGGATGCAGCATCGATCTAGTGCTGCATCTGTCCCTAGCAGCCTTTACACTGAGAACTGAGTGATCAAAGACTGCTGATCGCACAATTCAGTGGCACGCTGCGAGGCTGAGCTAGCTGCCAATCAGGCATTTTGGTGGATCCTGATATTAAAGTCAGGATCTCTCCAGAGTCTGGACTGGCTTTATCATATACCACAAAGTTCAGGCACTACACACATAGCCATGGGCAATAGTGAGGTGAGGAAGTCTATAATAATTGCTGATCTCCTGCAGCCTCACAGGAAAAAACATCAGGAGTGATGAGAGACCATTCATTGCCAACAGTCTGATGACAAGCGCCTGAATTTAGTTAAATAATGTGAAGATGAGATTAGAGGTATAAGTCTCAGTAGAAACAGTCTAGTCTTGAAAAATCCTCTAAATTTTAATAAAAGTAGTAAAAACAATGGCTCTCTGAAGTGACTTGAGAAAGGGCCACTCCCAAAACATTTTGTCATGGTGACAGAGTAGATTCCATCCGGAGCATCACAGTGAATTAGTTGGAGCACAACAGAGAATAAAATCCTCTAAATTTTGTTAAAAGGACTAAAAACAATGGCTCTCTGTTTAGTTCTGGCTTCCCACGAGGTGAACTATTAAAAATCACTGTTCAATAAATGGCAGTATTTAGTCGTATGAAAACAACCATCCAGGAAAAGTAAAAGCTTACAATGGTCCCGAGGATGACAGCGGTGGTGAGCTGATGATGGTATGAAAGTCGCAGGTTGTGCACACCATGCAATCTAAAGTGGCTACAGGGTACAAAGGGTGAACTGTATGGACTCTCCCTACTGCGTTCTGGGATCCTCTCTGCGGTCAGTGTGTAACCAGCAGTGGCATGGCAGATGTGATTTCATCAGGAGCGCCGCTGGCTGGACTTGGGCCTCAAGATGGAACTCAAGCTGTGACGCACAGGATGGAAGCTAGTCTGTCACCATGACAACACGTTTCAGGCGTGGTCCTTTCTCAAGTCACGTCAGAGAGCCACTGTTTTTTACTCCTTTTAATAAAATATAAAGGATTTTTCAAGACTAGACTTTCTACAGAGACTTATTCAGAAGGTTTACCTCTGATCTCATATATTGACACTTCACATTATTTGACTGTCTTCAAGCGCTTACCATTGGACTGTCGGCTTTCAACAGCAGGCTTTAGCCTGCTGTCAACTGAATATGGGTCACAGGAGTGCAGGCCTGTGATCCCTAGAAGTATGGCCTCTACTTCTTTAAGAAACCTTCATGCATCATGTAAATGAAAAATTAACCTTTAATGTCATAAATGTGCTTCAACTACTCTGCCAATTGGCAGTAGATTACAGATACACACTCTCCCCTGTGAAAATATCCTCCTTGTGCTTCCCCAGCCTGTGAACCTATGTGGGTGAGTTTGGTATGCAGAAAACGACTGTTCCAAGTCAGAGCATGTGCGCACCCTCAGGCATTCTTTACTTTTTAATAATACTATATTTGCATTTGTACGGCTCCTATTTGATCAGTTTTTTGCTTTAGTAATTTTGTAGTTTTCAGGTTTAAAAAGGCACCCACATTAAAACAAATGCTAATGTTTTTTTTTTACGGAAAAAATGCAATTAGAACCACAACAGCATTTTGCAAAACTGAAGAATGGTTTTGCGATTCTATTACTACACCTTGCTAATTAGGTGGTAAAACAGAGAGAGATGTTCCAACTAGACAGTTGGTGTGATGTCTGATTCTTTTGTACCGTGCATAAAGTATATAAATGTACATAAAATTAGAATTGAACAGTATCCTTCAGCTTAAAGATACTAAGAGACACAAATGTGTGCCATACAGTTGATTGTTCTATATTGGCTCATTCCCTTCACTGTGACTGCCTGTAAAATTGACATAAATTGTTATTTTTACACTGGAAATTAAAGGCAGCCAAGTTATGTACTTTGCTGCCAACTGAGCTTGTAATTGTAAATGGATTAAATGGCTTTAAAGCAAGATTGAAACCACTGTTTAGAGTTCATCACTTGGAGGAAGCCTACAGAATTTTTTTTTTTTATTGTTGCTTTTATTCTGTAGCATCAGCACAACAGTGACTTTAATGATTATATCAAATTCAGCCAAAATTAATTTAAGTAATATTAAGTAGACAATAATTCTAACATACCCTAAAGTGAACCTGTGATCAGATGATGCACATCATCTTGTAGAAAAAAAAATTACAACAAGCCATCATTCACCACTGTACTTGAAAGCATTTTGAAGGAGATCATTATTTATTTAAGTTATTTATATAGTGCCAACAATATATGCAGCACTTATACATATACAGGTGTACCTCGGTTTACAAACGCCTCGGTTAACGTAATTTTTGGTTTACGAATGAAAATCCATTGAAAAATAATGCCTTGGTTTATGAGTTTTTTTACCATTTTTTTTCACAATACAAAGTGTATGTCGGTGTCGATTTTTTTTTTTTTTTTTTTTCTTCACTATAACTCGCAGAATTAGCTGTCACTTTCCCTGGAGTTAAGAAACTAAAATGAAACATTGTTTCTTTAAACTCAGGGAAATAAACTAAAAGGAAACTTTCTTTCTTTTAGCTGGGGGAAAGCGGATTCTGTTAGCTATAGTGAAGAAAAAAAAAAGCAGTAATTACATTTAAAAACCGGCACCATGATAAATTAAAAAAAAAAAAAACAGTGTGGGGTCCCCTCTCCCATCCATACCAAGCCCTTTGGGTCTGGTATGTATTTTGAGGGGAACTCCCACGCCAAAATTTAAAAAAAAAAATGGCGTGGTGTCCCCCCCCAAAATCCATACCAGTCCCTTATTCGAGCATGCAGCCCGGCAAGTCAGGAAAGGGGGGGGGGGTGGCGAATGAGCACCTGCCCCCCTCCAGAACCATACCAGGCCACATGCCCTCAACATGGGGGGGTGCTTTCGGGCAGGGGGGGGACCCCACCCCCCCAAAACACCTTGTCCCCATGTTGATGGGGACAAGGGCCTCTTCCCCACAACCCTGGCCGTTGTGGGGGTCTGCGGGCAGGGGGCTTATCGGAATCTGGAAGATCCCGGGCCCCCCCATGTGAATGATTATGGGGTACATGGTACCACTACTTATTCACAAAAAAAAACAAAAGTGTAGTGTGAAAAAAGACAGGACACAGTCTTTGACAAGTCCTTTATTAAAAGAAAAAAACAAAAGCATGTCCCCCGCAGTAGATCCAACGTCAATCACGATGCCCGCCACCGATCTGAAAAAAGAATTTAAAAAAAAAAGGCTCCGCTTCCGATGATGGCTCCCGCACTCTGCTTGCTCCGGTGGTTTGACCGTTCTTAAATATGTAAGGGACGAGGCCACCTGGGGACATCACGCATGTGACCCCACCCTATGTGACATCTGGAGGGCATGTGGCCTGGTATGGTTCAGGAGGGGGAGGCCTCTCACTCGCCCATCCCCCTTTCTTGACCTACCAGGCTGCATGCTCGGATAAGGGTCTGGTATGGATTTTGGGGGGGGCCCCCGCTCCATTTTTTTTTTTTAATTGGGTAGCATCACCTATTCATGTTACAAGTCTTTAACTAGTTTAGGGAATACTGCTGCATACTTTTTGCTTTACTTACCTGGTTTTGTTGCTCTTGTCTATATGATTTTGCATTTATTTCATATGTATGGAACTTAGCCAGCACAACTAAACTGCTAAATCGATATTGGTGGATGAGGTTTTATGTGTGTATATATGTCCTTGTACATTGATGCTCCATAATATTATATTACCTTTTGAATAAAATGTTTATACTTTTTACTTTTTATTTGTAGTGGTATAGATATCCTATATAGAGGTTATTGTGGTTTTGTATTATTCTGTTTAGTGTGCTCTTTATTTCTGCATGCTCAGTGGTATGGGTTATCCTGTTTGTGTTTCTACAAAGTAGATTAAGTGGCAGTCAGCAAGGAAAAATAATTTTCAACTAATGACTATGATCAGACATTTCCTATGACTTCCTTCATTCTTTCATCCAGCCCATGCACTGTGGAAGAAGATAACAAAATATCCTATTCTCTAAAGCTGTTCATAGATGGTTTCAATTTTGACCAGTTCAGCAGCTACTGGCTGAGATTCAAACCATCTATGGGCAGGCTGATTGTACCCACATCGATTGTTGTACAACTTGAGTACGACCAGTCTGTCAGATTTTTTTCATGCGATTATCCACTAGCAATAATCACGGTGTTTCATGTAGTGGGGGGCTTTCAGTGTTGAGGGTAGAATCAAGTGATTTTATTTTCTGTAACCCGTGGTTGTAGGAAAGTAAAGCGCATCTTCTATGCTTGACGTGAGATTACACATCCGCCCCACACTCCATACCCTTACTCTCAGCTTTGTTTTAAATCATATTAAAAAAATCCTTCAGCATTTGTTTAGGTCATATACACAGACAAAATGGGTGATTTTATATGTGCAAAAATTATTTCCTTACTACTTACTTACGGAGCCCCAGGACTAGAACAACTAGAACAAACATTCAGATAGTTCTTGTTCTTGATCAGTTATCCACTGTGAATAAACACAAGAGTGAAGACAACTGACTTGAATCATTTACCTTTAAAAAGAACTTACAGTACAAGTGGAAGCTCCTGTATTTCTGTTCTGATAGCTTTGTTAAGGTGTCTACAAGAAGCATTATAATGCTTCATATTTTTCTTTTCTGCCTGCATTTTTCAGTGGTGTGCCTTTCAACAAGTCTGTCTGCTTCATTAATAAACTGGTCAATGTGTTGATAAATTGTTGCTAGAGGTGACTTGTATAAAAAAAAAAGTATATGAAAATCATTTGAAGAAGGACAAACCCTATACAAAACACTGGTCATTCCATCAACTGAAATACATTACCTAGGCACACATGCATGTACGTATACTGTACTTTATTACCTGTTTCACTAAGACTTTTATTTCTTTTAATATCTTTCATTTAGGTGTTGGCTTTAAAGTAGGAGGAAACTCTGGAATTAAGTATTTTGTGCTCCAAGTTCATTTTATGGAGATGCAAAGGCATTCCAAGGTAAGTGGTGTAAAGCCGGAGAAATATAAAAAACATAGTTAACTGATTTTGCTACACAGGTTGATTGTATAGTGATATGTGTAGTCTAAAGCAGGGTATACACCTTGAGTTTTTTCTTTCAACTAGCCGGTTGAATGAAAAAAACTCACAGATTCCTATATCCACAAAAGCGATGAAGATGCAGTGATCTCCCCTGCTGCACTATTGTTTTCTGATAGCAGGCCGGGCTGCTGATAGAAACAAAGGGGCCCCATACAGCCAACCTGACAGCCCACCCCAACAAAAAAGCACAGTTTACTATGCTTCAGTTATGAATGAACACAGTGAGTGATCAGTACCGATTGCTCATTCAGGAAAGAAAGGGGCTGTTAAATGTGACACTCACTGGCTAAATCCTGCCGCCTCAACCTCCGGAACATTTCCAAAATCCGCCCCTTCCTGACCAATGACACCACAAAACAACTTATCCACGCTTGGTTATATCCCGCCTCGATTACTGCAACTCCCTCCTCACTGGTCTACCGTTACATAGGCTATCCCCCCTTCAGTCTATTATGAATGCTGCTGCTAGACTCATACACCTTACCAACCGATCAGCGACTGCTGCCCCTCTCTGCCAATCCCTCCACTGGCTTCCACTAACCCAACATATAAAATTCAAAATACTAACCACAGCTTACAAAGCCATCCACAGCACTGCCCCTAGCTACATCACCAACCTCATCCACAGATACCGCCCAAATCGCCCACTCTGCTCCTCCCATGATATCTTCCTCTCTAGTTCCCTCATCACCTCCTCCCACGCTCGCCTCCAGGACTTCTCCAGAGCCTCTCCCATCCTCTGGAACTCCCTACCACAGCATGTCCGGTCAGCCCCCACCCTGTCTGCCTTTATGCGATCTTTGAAAACTCACTTCTTCAGTGAAGCCTACCCACCTTCACCTAAGAACTGTAATTGAATCCCCTCCGCCAGATCATCCCCTGCAGCTATCACCTTTTGTATCACCTCCCGCTTCCTTTAGATTGTAAGCTCCACGAGCAGGGCCCTCACATTCCTTCTGTACTGAAATGTATTGTAATTGTACTGTCTCCCTTATATTGTAAAGCGCTGCGCAAACTGTTGGCGCTATATAAACCCTGTATAATAATAACATATTTACTGAACCTCTCCACCCACTCTTCATCCTGAAGAATCCTATTGTGTGCTTGCTGCTGCTGTTGGGAAGGAGAGGAGGGAAGCCTGCAGCACTGTAGAGACAGAGGGACCTGGGCAGCAGGTGGAAACGTATGGTGCAAAGAGAGGGTGATGGGTGTGGGTGGCTATTACTGGAACTGATCCTCAGTATGGCTTTCCCTACAGCAGCTGAAAGCCAGTGGGAGGGAGAGGAGGGAGAAGCCAGCTTTCGGAGCGGAGTTCCAGCAATTGCCTCCCCCCCCCCCCCTCCACTGTTCCAGTCACCCTCCCTGCTCACATCCGATTCACCCAGCTGCCTGGGCCCTCCTGCTGGCCTGGCCCCATACAGGAGGACTGGTTGTACCTTTTTAGCCACAGCTCTGATGGCGGGACCTCCCCCCCAATCAGAATACACAGATTAGCTCTTCAGCAGTTGGCTGCAAACACTGATTAAATGCTGGTTTTCCAGCATGACCGCATTGACAGAAGCTGGTCGCCAGGTGAACTTCTGCTGAACAGACAGCGGTACAGATAGAGCAAAATTCACACAAGCAGAGTGATTTCCCATCCATTTATACCCTGCTTAAGTAGAAAAGAGAGGGAGGCTTCAACCGGGGTGGTGTTGCAGTAAAGAGGGAATCCACATTAGGAGCCCGTTCACACTAGGTGCATTGGGAACTGGGCAGCCCCAATGCCATATATACTTTGAGGGTAAAGCCCTGCAGGGTTATGCTACTTGGAAACTCTCCAGAACACCTTTAGACCACAGCTAGTATGCTATTTTTCTAGGAATAGATAGAACGTTTCATGAAAATGTGGAGAAGGAGCTATGAACTCTTTATGAGAAGCATAATGTGTTTAAAATGTGGAGGATGTAATCTTTAATGCATACTTTGTAATTGTAATCACTTTGTTCCAGTTTAAAAGGAACTGAACTGTTACACTGCATGTACATATTGCTTCTTCTTAATTTGGAGAGAGGGACCATTAGAAGAGAGATTTTCACCTGACATTCACATATACTGAGTTATGAGGTCCTGTTATGCTATGGATTCTGTGTTAACATGTAAATAAGCCAAGTTTTTTTTTTCTGTTTATCTTTCTAGTATGGAATATTGTATATTGTGAGTTTGTTATAGCTACTTTTAAAACTTACCTCTATATATTATATCTAGATGAAGAAGCGACTTGAAAATATTACCCTACCTTTACCTTCCTGCTTGTGAAGCTTTAACAGTAAATGTTATAGGCCTAGATCAATATAAACATTGCTTTGTTTCCATTCAGCTTTTCTGCAATATAACTGCAAACAGAGTGTGAGAACAATGAAAGATCTGCTGCACATGGTGGATTCTAAAAACTGAGCATACATGGGAAACTGTTTTTTTTTTTTTCCGATCAGCCAGCAGGCAAATAAAAAGAAAACGGATTTCCTCCATCCTCACAATTGAGGGGGGCAGAGGAATCCCTCCATCTGTGTCATTCTACTCTGACAGCGGAACTCCTCCACTGGCTATAGATGGATCAAAACTCTGATCCATCTATAGCCAGCTTACATCTTCACTTGCTGCAGCCATAGATTGTGATCATTATGCTGCAGTGCACTTCTGTAGTAAAAGGAGATCACAAAGTACACCAAATTAGAGCTGTCTACTTTGGTTTTTAAATTCAATAGAGAGTTATAGGGGTCTGTTTATAAATGTTTTCACACAAGATTACTGCAGCTTTCATCCACGAGTCACACATCCTTCCAGTTGAATCCAAGAAAAATGTGTGAAAGTTGTGTAAATTGTGTGTGAAAAAAATCTCTCTGTAGTACCTCCTTATCAAGGGACCTCTGTAATATGCAGTCTTACTCTTAAGCAATGGGGAGTACAAAGTTTTGGACTTTTTTTTTTTATATACTAGCTGAATTAGGAAAAAAATTATCTCAGAATTACTACATTAATACTTATGATGAGCTCTACTTAAAAAACCCAGACATTGCAATATACCTGCTGCAGACCAGTTCAACAGCTTCAAAGAATGCCAGTTATTTAAATAAATGTAAAGCACACATGGGCACTGTGGGTGGAGTGGTCAACAAATTCTTGCACACATCTGGTCCACTAGCAAAGAACACCCCTAGTGACATGAAAAGGTGAAGATGACAAACTGCTAGAACAGTGACCCGGGGACCCTGATGCGGCTCTTTGCTTGCCTTGGGGCACTTTTGCTCCCACTGATGCAAGACACTATTAATCCCACTGACGTCAACAATGGGGCATAATTCCTGTTACTGACATCAACAACAGGGTACTATTTCTCCCATTGACACCAACAATGGGGCATTATTTCTCGCACTTATACCAATGATGGTGGACTATTCCTCCCCCTAATGTTTAAAATGCACTGTTTAATCCCACTGACCCCAGGACAATTTCTACTCCCAATGACCACAGTCCGACCACCCTAAAGTCTAAAGGACAGTAAACTGGTCCTTTGTTTGGAAAGTTTGGAGACCCCCTCTGCTAGAAGAAGACAGCCCCTGCATGACTTAAGCTAATCCTTTCTTATCTCCCATCCATTCTGATTCCAGACAGCCACTTAGATGAAGCAGAATAGACATCTAAAGGGATCCCTGACCTCATTCTTGTTATATTCTCTACACTGTAGCTAAACTTATGCAGGAGCTGCCTGCATCTTACAATTTGTGATCTCAAACAATTTGCCTAAATATTAGTTTGTTTTTTAATGAAACACATCAAAGGCCTTTTGATAAAGCAAAAGATGACTAGAATATTGTCTGCACAATATTAGGGCACATCAATGACCGCTTGAACTATGTAATTGGCAAAGGTTTACTGATTTATGTTACACGTACAAAGAACTGCAGATCAATAATTGAGCAGCTAATGTAAAGTCTCACCATTAATTTCCATCAGTGGGTTTCAGCTTTCTTTGTTTTTGTTCGTTTTTTTTTTTTTTTTTTTTTTTCCTATGGATGGGTGGCTTTTAAAAGCAAAAGAATGAAAAATTGCCCACAATCCCAATATTTAGGGGTTGTTCCCACAGTGGAAATGCTGCCAGTTAAATGTATGTATGTATATATGTGTGCGTGTATGTATGTGTGTATGTATATGTGTATATATATATATATATATATATATATATATATATATATATATATATATATATATAGATCTGCTTGTCGACATGAGAACCCAGTTATTGGTTGGATTAGCCCACTGTTCAGCGGCAGTCAGTTGTACAACTTTCCATTTTACTGGCCTTACCTTTTGACTTCTCTTTGGACAAGAATACATGTTGGTAAGCTGAAGAGGTCTTCCTATGTCTAAGCCTGCTAAAACTAAATCTGATCACAGGGTTCATAATGGATATCGTAATATCTCTTTGTTTCTCTGTTTGACATTTATTGTCCCATGCTTCAGTACTCCTATGATCTATTATACGTGGCTAAGTGCAGTCAGGCGTAGTTCTGACACTTGCATAAACGGTGGGCAGCTGTTACAATATTTACCCAATACTTTACCTGTCAGGACACATTCTTTAAGCAGTACATTGACTATATACTGACAAATAAGTTATATCATTGACTGACGGATATACTCTTATTTGGGTGACACAACTATACAGCATTCTCAGGTGGATGTGGAAGTAAATGCAAAACAAATGTGAGGGTTGTTATCACTGTTCTGTCCAGCAATTGAAGAATGGGAAGTAAGCAATGGCAGCCTGTAGTGACTCTATCCCCACCCCACAAAAAAAAAAAAAGTAAGATTAGTTTTCTTCATGCTTATTCATTGGGTGGTGTGTTAAATCTTCACTGTCTTGAAGTACTCTGGGAGTTGCTGCTGACACTTCTGGGTATGTAAAATTGTGTGAAAAACCCATACCCCCCTCCGCCTCTGTTGGTTCCACCTGCTATTTGGTCACTACTCTGTCCCATAGCGTCTATCAAGAACCAAAACCCCCAGCAGAGGACATACCATCTGATGTGCCTGAAAGTGTCAGCAGTGACTCCCAGAGAGCTGTAACCTTCTAATTCATTGTTTCACCAGCTGGACCTGTTTTTCCGGTCACAGGGTCACTTTGAAGGAACATTTTTTGCTGGAGAAATATGAAAAAATTGCCATTGCTAAATTCTCATTCTATTGATATTAGTTGCCTGACTGTTATGCTGACCCTAAGGATTAATGAATTAATTCTAATTTTCTTGATTGCATATTTATTTCTTGCCAGTAATTTGAAAAGTATTGCAGCAGTGGGTCAAAATAATAACCAGAATGGAGGTGAAAGTTAACTTTAAATCATAATTCTTTCCATCACATTTATAAAAATACGAGATTGATTCCATTAAACTCTGATGCAGGTTCTTAGAGGTTTTGCCATGTATGCTCCATATTTGTGCATTATCACAGACTTACCTGCCAAAGCAGCTCCATACAGTGGTGCAAAGGCCCGTGATCTTCCTTGTCACACCACTGCTCCTAACATTTGCGTCTGGTCTTCTGGATTTGGTTTCCTTGGCCATCTTGATTTGACAAGGAAACAATAAGATAATTTATCCCGACACCAAAAGATTGCCAATAGTGGACAATGAGCTGTGCAGGCAGGAGGTCAGCCTTTTTTTTTTTTTTTTTGCAGAAATTACTTACATAATCTTTTGTGCAATAAAAGCCTACCTGCCAGCCACTTTAAGTAGGTACAGGATGGCAAATCCTTTCTATATGCCCCTGGGTCAAATGTACATTCAAGCCTATTTTAAATCGTATATACATACATAGAAAACATATACAATAGAGACATTTTATACAATAGAAACATTTATTCCAACTGCATACAGCTGTTTTTAGGATTGCTGGCTATCATCGGTGCCCACTGTTTAAACTGAGAATCAACTACGTATACAACCCCCAATTACAAAAAAGTTGGGACCCTGTTTAAAACCTACATAAAAACAAAATTCAATGATATGCAATTCTCATAAACCCATATTTTATTCACAATAGAAAACCTATTAAATGTTTAAACTGAGAAAATGTACCATTTTAAGAAAAGAAACAAAAGTAATTTTTAAATTGATGGCAGCAACACATCTCAGAATTGGGACAGGGCAACAAAAAGCTGGCAAAGTAAGCAGTACTAACAAGGAAGACCTGAAATAACATTTTCCAACTTATTTACAGAGTGTTGTTAAAACAAGAGCAGATGTCACACTGTGGTAAACATGGCCCCTATCCCAATATTTTTGGAATTGGCATTTGCCAGCATTTTTGATGCCGTCTCAACTTTTTTGAGATGTGTTGCTGGCACCAATTTCAAAATTACCTTATTTGTTTTTCTTAAAATGGTACTTTTTGTCTGTTTAAACATTTGATATGTTTTCTATTGTGAATAAAATACTATATGGGTTTATGAGATTTGCAAGCTCTTTCATTCTGTTTTTATGTAGATTTTTCACAGCATCCCAACTTTTTGGGAATTGGGGTTGTATAAAGAATAAACTGCTTATATTTTGATTTTGCCCTGAAAAGAGGTAACTACAATGTCAAGTACAAAGCACAGCAGAACATTCACTGACAGTATTAAATTATTGAGAAGATATTTGGAACCCTGATGCTTAGAAGATATGTATTTGTTGTCTTAATGCTAATGGTGCATTTCTTTGTGGCAGCTGTTCTGACTACAGTATTTCAGTAATGGTCCATAACCAGCAGAAAGAGGGAAAAAAAGACACACAACTACCCTTTCTCACTCTGTTTTGCTTTGCAACTTTCCATTTTTGTAATACTGATTGTCTTCATATTAAACTGTGCCTTTTAATCTGATATTTCAAAGTGTGGTATATTAGAATAATGGGTCTTGAACAGATGACTCACAGCCAGTAGCATGACTGAGCTGGCAGTTTTCCTATGTTCATTTAATAGCTTTCTCTCCAGGCATTTGAAATGGTCTGTGCTTGATGTAGCAGGGCACGGTCAGTGACTCTTCTTCTTTTCTTCTTAGATAAACATAAAGATTGCACTGGAGTAACTGTGCAGATAACACCGGATAGGTAATTGACATTTTTATATTGCTTTATTACTTTTTAAATTATTAATTTGTTAACTTCTAGTTAACTAGTCACTTCAAAACTGTTTTATAAAACTATTGCACATGCCTTTGTTGAATCCTGTTTGCTGGGGGATAGAGTTCCCTCTTGGCGGAGACTTGCCGAAAGGGAGTTTAAGAGTGGCTTGTAGGTAGTTTAAGGTCATTAGAATTTTTGTTTCAGTGAGTTTCTATGGTTGGACAATACAAGCTGTGCTGAGAAAGTTTGTATTTTCATCATGGAAATGCTCTGAAGCTGCTCACCGCTGATTGTAAAAAGCTCACTGTAACTACCATAAAAAGGGAAGAAAGTAGGAAACTCTCATAAAGTGGATAAGTGGATTCTCCTCACCTTCCAAAATGTCCCTACGTTCACTGGTGCCTGCTCACGTTCTAGTGACAGCTTCTTTTGTTAAGACCTGACCCTCCTCCTCCCACCTTAACATGCTCTGAAGTGAGGCCACTTATTACATTTGATGGGCAATAAAGTAAGATGGATGAGAGGAGGTGGACCAGAATTAACACAATGCAGTTGCGCTCTATGGACACATAATCATGTGCAGTAGGTTTTTGAGGGATCAAGGGACTTCCGGAGATAATCCAAGAAAGCAAGTAGACACCTGTTGCCAATGTAGAAGGTGAGGTGAGCTCAAACTGCCACATCACCTCCACCAGCCATTTGACCATACAGCCTCCTTTCCTTTTTTTTCCTCTGATTGCATTCCTGAATCAGAAGAGTTCATTGACAACCCAAATCCCCCTTACACCTATGTTATATAAATAAACCTTTCACTCATGGGAGTATGCTTTGTCTAAATGGGAAATGTGTACACCCAAGCCTTGATGTGCTTTCTCTCTTAGCCAAGGCCACGCCAGCTGCCATAGGAAGTGTTCTTTAGAAAATTTGTCTAATAGACCAAAATGGGGGACAGTTTTAAAAAAGAGCGAGGGCAGAATAAGACTGTTCTTTCATGCGTGGGTGACTGGGAGCTATGTTTATTTATTTTGCTAATATTGTGCATGGTACAAACATTTAATTATTATTTGTTATGATTCATAGGCAGCCACTGATTGCTGGTATTTATCTCCTGATGTCAATGGACACTGTTATCCCACCAGGGGAAAAAAGTAAGGATTTCTTGCATATTTAATAAATGATACAAGTATGAAGGTAGATGTCTGCTGTTGTTATGTTTTTTTTTTCCCCCAAAAAAACATAAGTACCTTATGGCTTTGGCTATACAGTTCTCTTTTATGTGTCTCCTCTCAACAGATACAGAGAAACAAGGAAATGAATGATTTCATGTAACAAACTGATTCTTGAAAACAATCCAAATTTTTTTTAATTAATTTGAGCTTGTTCTGTATGTATATATGTATTTATGTGCATATTAGGTTAGAAATATGTTCTTTTGAGGTGGGCAGTGTATGTACATCTAAGATTCCACAAGCAGACACTACAACCTTTTTTGTTGTGCTTTTAGGGTTTGTTCAGTTTGTTCACTTTTTTTAAAATGAGTGTAAAGGTTTAAATTTTATTTATGTTATACGTATATTTTCTGTGCAATAGTTTTGCACAGAGCAGCCCCAATCCACTCCTTCTTGGGCCTCCCTGCCAGCCGTCTTGGCTCCACCCCCCCTCCCCCCTGAGTGTCCCCATAGCAAGCCACTTGCTATGAGGGCACTCATGCTGGCTCCTTCCCGAGCTGCTTCTGTGTATCCAATAGACACACAGAGTGGGGCTCATCCCCGTTCCCTGCCTCCTTCTCACTGGTTGTGAATGACCACAGCAGGAGCAGTTTGCTCCTGTTACTGTGTCTGAGCCAATGAGGAGGCAAGAGAGTCTCTGCTCTTGTGCTCAGAACTGAATCAAGATCAGGCTCCATTACGTATTAGGGGGCTGGTAGAGGAAGCTGCATGCAGAAGGTTTTTCTTACCTTGCAGAGAATGCATTAAGGTAAAAAAATGTTCTGCCTTCAGAACCACTTTATCATAAAACACATCTTAAAGATTATATCAGGGTACCATACTGACTAAACTGACTGCATCCGATTATATTTTATTTGATTTTCCTGCATTGACATTAAGGAAGGTTTAGCATTGTGTTTTATAAAAATACATGGTAACATGCTGTCCTTAGGGAGAAGACTGTCTGCTTTCTTCTCTGCCTGGGGCTAATAGTGGCCTAGAAACAGCACAGGTTACTTGCTGGTAATTGGTTGCTGGATGCATTGAATTACTTCTGTCATGTAAGATGATGGTAAATCACTCACAGTGTTGCAACAGACCTCAGGAAGGAAAAGGGTATATGTTTTACAATGTGTAGACATATGAGAATGCTCCTGTTTTTTCCATATAAAGGGTAACTGGAGGGTTTCATGATAGCGTGGATATAACTGCATTATATCTTTATTATTATTAGTTTGGTAGTGAATAAATATATATACAGTGGGTATCGAAAAAATTCATTCCGCTTTAAAATAATCACATTTTGTTGCTTTGCGGCCTGAAATGAAGACAGACACAGTTTTTGTTTTATCCAGCTGTATTTACTCATAACATCCAAGTGAAATATATAACACCAACATGTCAGGCAAAAAAATAAATTCAAAAATAGAATCACTGAGTGGAAAAAAGGATCACCCTCCATGTGTCCGTATTTTGGTGAACCACCTTTTGCTTTAATTCCAGCCTTTAGACTGCGTTGAAGCCTCCTATTCTAAAAAACGCTCCGCAAACGCCGGACCAACACTTGCCAAACACTATAGGGGCGTTTGGCAAGCGTTGGTAAAACAGTCAAGTGTGAACGAGCCCTAACATTGTTGTTTTACTTTTTTCCTGTATATCTCATGCTGGACACAGTGGCTTAGTATTAGTATTTCTGACCTGTAAGATTTAGATTTATATAGCGAGAGGAGAGGTAGACAGTTTGTAGGTTTCAGAAGATGATCCTTAGCTTATATCTCCTTTGTTTAAAGTGGAAGTAAAGTCCACTTTAGAACTTGTACCTACAGGTAAGCCTACAATAAGGCTTACCTGCAGGTTCAGTGAATATCTCCTAAACCTGCACTGTTTAGGAGATATTCATGTAACATGCAGCTGGCGACGTCACCAGGGCATGTATTCCGAAGGGACGGTATATTGCACCGGACCGTCAGAGCTCTGTGCTATAGCCGAAGGCTCCTGTGTGCATGCATGGGAGTGATGTCATCGCGGCTACGGCCATTCATACGACCTGAGCCCACGAACCTGTAAGGTGGACCAGGTGAAGATGGCAGCACCGGGAATCTGTGACATTGATGTGCTGGAGGGCTCCGTGTAAAGGTAAGTCTGTCATAATATACTAGTATGCAGTTGTAATGCCTATGAAATGTGTTGGCCTTGGACCTTTTTGTTTCTTGGGTAATTTTTACAATAAAGCATTGTTGCCAAAATGCCAGGGGCATGAGAGGTGACTGATGTGTCATTTCTCTAGACCAAAGGAACAGAGTCACAAGATATTCTGCTGAGAGCAAGATAAAAACTTGTTTATGGACTGAAACGTGTTTATGACATCTAGTTACCTCACATTAGAAGATAAAAACCTGTTTAAAGACATCTACTTGCTTGAGAATTTAGAAATCCTTAAGTCTGGGGTAGATAAGAAGTTTTGGGGTAGATAAGAAGCAAAAGTGTGACTTTTCAGATAACGAATATGGTGGTTGAACATGACTCGCGGAACCCTTCTGATAGCTCTTCCTGTGGTGGGTGTGGTGCCGCCCACTATTGAACAGTTTCCAGAAAATTAGTTTATAAGGCGGAGGTCCGGGCGAGACCAGTAGAAGCCCCCACTTAGTGGGCAGAGGATGCTGTGACGCTGGGATTTTTGCCAAGTCTATATGGGCTCATCGGCTGGTCGTGCCTACGGCTTCCCCGTGACCTTCTGGGCAGTTTTGGTTCCGATGGGACTTGTTCCTCCCAGCTTCTAACATAGCTTTAGTAATGTATTAATTCTATGCTGTGACGCTGTCAAATGATGTGTTTTATTTCATTCTGTAATGCTCACATTCTTACTGTGTGTGTTATTATGCAGATTGTGATGACTATAAGATATATCTTCCTGTGTGTCGTGTGATAATAAAAGTGGAGTTTTTGACAGTACAAGAATATTGCTGTTGGATTCTGTTATTTCTTGGAGTGCCGGGTGAATGCTATGATGTTCCAGGACAGGTGTTCATTTGGTAGATGGTCTTTCACATGTGTAAAATATGTAATAGTTTAAATGCTGATTAAAAGGTACCTGCATGACTACATGTGATTGATTGTGTGCGTGTATATGACTTTCTTTTAGTTATTGCACCCAGCATCTCTATTACAGCAGTGCATGCTAGTACATTATGACCTAAACCTGCAGGGGCCCATTGTTTTCTTTTTTTTTTTTTTTTTTGCAGTTTACTACCGCTTTAAAGAATAAGCTCACCTTTTGGGAAAAAATAATAAATGCACATATTTTTGCAGGAAAAAAATGCGCATTTATTATTTTTTTTCCCTAAGGAGCCTGGAAAGCATTGCATAAGTGATCAGTGGATCAGGAGTGCAATGTCAGATTCCTGAAGACAAGCCCTGTAGCTTTCAACCTATACCTTCATACGGGCTGACTTTTCACAAGCTGCAGGGCTTGTGAATGAACTATGAGAACGCTCATCGGTGACCTCATAGTGCATTCAGAACTACAAGGTATTAGCTGTAATGGCTGACGGTAGTTCATGTATTCACAGGAAATGCATGGCCACACTGCTTTTGGATTGACAGAGCGAGAGTGGGGAAAGATCTCTCACCCGCTGTCACAATGACAGGGTAATCAGGGGAACTGGCTAACAGAGCTGAAACATGTTACATGTTCCACCCTAAATATAGGTGTAACATGTTCCGAAAGGTGAACTTATCTTTTAAGAGGTCTTCATTATAAAACTTTTTAGTTCGTAGACTTTTGTACTAGTTTAAAGCAACCTGGTATAAGCCGAAATTCCTCCTTAATAAAGCTAGGCAATTTACACAATTATGGTTATTGACTTTGTCTAATTTACTCATAATATAAGTTGTCTGAAAATCAATTCCTTAATGAAGCATTTCATGTCTTTAACATAAGAAGCAGGAAGTCAATAAGCTTTCAGAAATGGTAAGGTAAGACTGATATTTATACTGCTAGACATGATTTCCCAAAAGCTGATATATTGTTTTCCTAAAAGCTGATATCTTTGACTTTGAAAATGGGATGTAGAGAGGCTATTATCATGTTACAGAAGAGCAGAGTAACCGACAGCTTGCCTTTCACTTTTCAACATTTCTTTGTATCCTGCGAACATTCTATTGCACATAGAACTAGTTCTAGTGGTAACATTGGCATTAAATGGTAATCTAACATTGGTTGGAGATTTGTCTGTTTGTGAAAGCGAAGGATGTGTTGGGATTGGAGGTTCACATAGTACCATGCTTGTGTCAAAGCAAAAGGAAAAAAGATACAACACTTGACATTTTATTGAAAGTAAAAAAAGTTTTCTTGTCATTGGCTCACATGACATATATTTGTATCCTGTTGTCCAGTTCTAGCAGTGTAGGATGTAACACCTGAGCAGTGATGATCAGTTTTAAGCCTCATGTACACAGGTGATGAAGGAAAGCACAACATAAAAGTTTGGCGCTTTTTTCCCGCATCTTGGCAGCCCAGGTGCTGTGTACAGACGCTGGGAATAGCTGTACATGGTACGCATCTGTACTGTCATACACCCACGCATAGCTTGCAGACATATTCACTGAATGCTGGAATTTCTGTGTTTGGTGAATATGCCTGTATGCTATAAGCTGATGTATGTGAATAACTGCGTATACTTGTATACAGCTACCCAAGGCTATTTAGGTCTGTACGCAGCACCTAGCTTCCCTGGCACAGAAAAAAGCCAGCATTTTACATTATACACCCCAATGTGCCCATGTGCATGAGGCTGAAGGCTTTGAAGCAGTATAGATTTTTCAGCACGTCATATAATCTGCAAAAAATGTGTTTTTCTGTTTTGTTTTTTTTTAGATTTCATGTGCTGATTGGCTTGTGGAAAATGTCTTTATTATCTGATTGTGCATCAGACAATGGGACATTCTGATTTAACACAACAAAAAGTGTGCAGTTTTATTGCATTGGCAGATCTGGCTGTGCAACAATTGGGCAAAAGGACAGGCAGACCTCTCATCTCTGTTGGAGATTGATGAGAACTGTGGCCATCTATGGCTGATCTTCGTCTTGATTAGGCTGCTTATTCCAGAGAGCTGATAATACTAGCAAGAATTAAGACAATGTAAGAGGCTTAGACATAGATTTATTGAAGGATTAATTTTCATTCCAGCCTGTGCTCTCTTCAAGTATATGTTATCTTCTAGGGAATTATAAAAATATATAACACTCCTTTGATCCTGGTTGGGTAGTTAAAAGGTTAACACAGGTTAGCAGGAATTCATCCTTTTGTAAATCAAGCTCTTAAAGCTAAACTTTGAGGAAAATACAATTTACTCTGTGACTACCCCCGCGCTGCAAGGGTTAAAGTGTTACTAAACCCAGGACCCTTCATTCACTATCTGGTCTCAACAGTACACACTACATGGAAATGCAATATTTTTAGTAAATATAAACTGATAAATACCTTTTCTCATCAGCAGTTAGATCAGTCTTGTGACTTCTATCAGTGTCCAGCAGAGCACATGTTAAAGCTTGTAGGAGGATTTTTCTTTCTGCTCTAGGAAGATGCAGATTCCCTGACCTCTGTCTGGACAGTGCTGATTGGCCCTGTGCTGATCACATGCACTGTCCCAAGAAAAAAACCTCTCTAGCAGTACACACTAAACTGAGCATGTGTAGAGGGTCTCCACACCATATGTCTTATCAAGAGATGAGAGAGAGACACTGGAAGAAGAGGAGGATCAGAGAAGTCAGGATCAAACTGCATTTTTAAACAATGCAGAGGATTAACCCCTATAGGTTCCACAGTGAGTATATGCTTTACTGCATATATAGACTGATTTTACTGTTGTGGGTTTAGTAACACTTTAAATGCTCCTTCATGGCTAGAGTACCTTTTTAAATGCTATTTTGCACACCTTACCCATGCTACAACAGACTTTCTTTTCTTAATAGGCTTGGTCCCTAGAAGCCTTTTCTCTTTGTCGCTCCATCTGTCAGTTGCATTCTGACCTCTTCATAAACAATGCTTCTGATCTATCTTCAGTCTGTTTGATGTAATGTACTGTAAGAAAGCTTTCTGTTTGCCAATTATAGAGATTTTAGGAATGGCGTACTAATGGCATGGAAAATATCAGTCTGACCCCGGAATGAAAAATGGGACCATGGTATACCTTTAGTCCCTCCTGCCTATATATCTTCATCTTTTTCCAGTCTTCATTCTAAGGTCCCATATTTCTTTTTAACAGAACTATTCCTTCCATTCTTCGCCTAAAGTGTACCCAAAGTCTGCTCTATTTAGTTTTGGATAGAGTGGTGAGAGGTTAGATTCTTTGCCAGGTTTTCATTGCCATGCCTGTTAGGGAAGTTTACACTTTCTATTTATCCTGGGGATCACTGTCTCTGGCAATGAAAAGGAAAATTCAAAATGTTGAACGATGTCAGGTTTTCACCATAACAAGAATAAAGGGAACAAACTATCTTTTAAAAGTAGTGAGCACAGTGAGTTTTCTCCATAGGCTGCAGTGGGAAAGCTGACTTCCATCAGCCTACAAAGAATTGGTACACTTTTATTAGTATCTGGTAAGGGATGAGTAGAAGAAGTAGCACTAAGGAATACTATACAGAATCGAGGTATGTAGTAAGCCTGTAAATGGGCTGGACGCAGCGTAGACTGCAATGTGTAAGGGGCTAACCAATCGCTGTAGTACTGGGTATGAGAGAGGTAAAGGGAGTGGATTACAAACAAAAAAATAAAGAAATAATAGAGCCAATTCACATCTGAATCGCACAGGAACACAGTCCACGTTTCTGTGCGATTCAGCATGGTGCAATTTTTAGCCCATTCATTTGAATGGACTGAAATTGCACTGGATCCCACCAAAAAGTAGTGCATTCACTACTTTTAAAAGGGCACTGCAACCAGATTGCATGGTACTCCTGTGCCATACAGACCTGTGCAGACAAACGGACTGCATTTGGGGTGTCCTTAGGAATACATTGAAACCCGCAGTAGATCAAGCACCCAATGCATTTTAAATGCGGTGCAGGAAATGTGCATGGAATGCGGTTTTTACTGCACCACGTTCTGGTGTGAACGGGCCCTAAAGTAAATTCTATAAGGGATTAAAAAAAACTAAAAAAATCGAAACACAAAATTCTTTCATGCAAGAAAATGTTATCCCAAAGCTTGAAAAAGTGGCACAGAAATATGGATGAGTATTGTTATATAATAGCAGTTGGCCTGGAGCCCTATGTCTTTATGTGGTCACAAAGCTCCTTAGTGACTTTTTATGTCTCACTAATGTACAGCAGGGGATACATTATAGTATGAATAATTTAACAGTAGCTTTCACGACTGATAGCCACAGACAAAATCACATGTATTATGGTCACATATATCATTCTATGATGTCTTCAATTATCGAATGCTATTTTAAAATAACTTTTCTGTGATTAAAGTGGTAGTAATGTATCGCATACTAGCACATTATGAAATAATTACCTTCGAACGAAGCCATCCAGTGGCGCGCTGTCACTGCTGACAGGGCTTGCATCTTCACCCAGTTTTCCTTCCGGGTTCACGGGCTCCGGTTGTATGAATGGCCGAGCCGCAATGATGTCACTCCCATGCATGCGGATGGGAGTCACGACCCTGACATGGAGCTCTGAAGATATGGCACGGGCATGCTGTCCCTTCAGAGCGCATGTGCCGGTTGACGTCATCGACTGCATCCTGTGTGAATACCTTTTAAACAGTGCACGTTTAGGAGATATTCACTGTACCTAAAGGTAAGCCTTATTATAGGTACAAGTTCAAAAGTGGACTTTTCTACTACTTTAACGTTGAAAAATATTCTAATGGAGTTTTACAGGTAGCAGTAAAGTTCTGATAGAAATTCTAATCTCTTCCTATATTATCCAAAAAATACTGCTTTTGGTTGAAGCTGGCTTTTATTCAGTACAGCTTGGTTACCCTGTCACTGTTCAGTGAAGGAGAAGTGGCCGATAGATGAGGTCATCCCTCTGCTCTCTCTCCCTGTAAGCTTGTGCAGACTGTTGACTGACAACTGTAGAGTTCTGATTGGTTAAGTGGCTGTCCTTCTGTCTCTTAGGGAGGCCATATATTCTTTATGAAATGGTTGATTTTTCTTCCAATCGATCTCTCCTGACAAGATATATCAATCCATAGTTTATAACCCAATCAGTTGATATACTATGCACAAAGAAGTGGACTTCCATTTATATTTGGATGGCACGATTGTGAGTTATTGATCATATCTCTGTTTACAAACAGAGATGCAATCTCATAATCTGATCTATAAAAATATGATCAGATTACTAACCAAGGCATCTTTGGGGGTGGTGATATAATGAGAAATGATTGATAATTTTCCACCTGGACAGTCAACTCAGTCTAGATCCGAAGGGAAGTTATGCCTGTTCAGTCTGACTGAAGTACAAATCAATCAGATAATAAAATGGAAATGTGTATAGCTACCATAAGTGTTAATGTTATGTCTGTATTAGTTCTGTGTACAATTATTTGATGTTTTAATGAAGAGATGACTGGATTAAACCGTGTTTTACATTTTTGTCTGGAATTCATATTTACCTGATATTTTAAATTTGTCTGCTGTTGTTGTGGATAAATTGACATTGACACGTGCTAATGTATTTTTTCTATGTGTTTTTTTAGCAGTGTACTCGGATATTGCTTGTATGTATGAGAAACCTTCAATGTACCCGTTTGCCTACAGAGTCCACACTCATCAGTTAGGTGAGTTTCTTTGCTGCTGTTGACATAATCATAATGAACATTTGTGCAGTGTTGTAAATTTCCCCTGTTGTGCTCATAGGTCAAGTTGTTAGTGGGTACAGGATCAGAAATGGCAAGTGGACTTTAATTGGAAGACAGAGCCCTCAGCTACCACAGGTAGGACATTGTGTCAAAACAAAAATGGAAATCACCACAATTTACAGTAGAAATTTTAAAGATAGGTGTACATGGAAGGGCTTTTATACACCGCAAACATAACAAAAGGCACTTTACAGCACACTTAGCAGCTTGCCAGCACAACAACATTTTCAAATATATTCGAAAGTCAGGAGGCCTCTCTGTATAGATAGATAGTGTGGTCCTTACTCCTCCATGTTAGAGCAAAGTCTGGGTTGGCAGTGATGAGCTCAGGTGTGTTTGGATACTAGTCCAAACCCACCTAAGCTATCATGCCAGGAAGCTATCATTGTACAAAGCCAATCATAAGCAACAGGGGCATTCCCCATCCCTCAGCAGCATGTATATATGCTCTTTATATACATACAACTGCAGGGCAGGGAATGCCTTGGCCACTTATGATCTGCATTGTGCAATAGCAGCTTCCTGGATGGTTGTCTCAGGTGGGTTTAAACTAGGATCCGAACACGCCTGAGACCACCCCTGTTCAGGGATCAGGATCACAAGAACCACAAAGGTTACAGCAGGCAAAGTTCTGTTGAACATCATAAAAGGGGTAAGCTTTGGCATGTTCGGTCCTAGTCTGAAATCACATTAGTAAGCTCATGGGGAAGCTGTCACTGTACTGGTCCAATGATAAACGGCTGAAGCATTCCCTGCCTCACAACAGTGCTTATATATACTCCTTGTGTACGTGTTGGGCAGGGAATGCCCTGGACACAGATGATTGGCCCAGTTCAGATGACAGCTTCATGGTGGGCTCACTCCCATGGGTTTGGACTAGGATCTGAATGTGCCCAAGCTCATCATAAACTTTCTTCTACATAAAAAGATTTCTTCAACAAAACAAATGAAAGCATTGCACTTAGGTCTTTCATTGCAACATGCACATTCTAGGACAAGGCTCACCAGCCAATAGTGTTCTGGTCTGGTCACACATCTGCATGCAAAGCTATCTTTGCAGTAATAGTTATCACTGCAGCCCTAGACCTCCATCCAAAGCGTGCCCCAAGCGCACACACACAGAACCTCTGACTTTCTGCAGAATCGTTCCCATGTGGAACAAACCCACCATTCCTCAACTGGATATATCCCTGTTCTTTAAGGCTCCCTTTGCTTGCCAGCACTAGCTCTCTCATTGCTGTTCACTACCTCTGCACAATGACATCTAGTGCTCCTACCACACAGTGTGTTTATATAAAGGTATGTAGAAGCTATGCTTCTGTGCATTCCAACCTAATTGGACCAGTGTTGTATCTTCTTCAGATCCTAAGGCATATATGATAGGAACCCTGTTTAAAACCCAGCTTCAGGAAAAGAGAAAATCCTCCCTTAAAGTGAGTCTGCCCCAGCACTGCAAGGATTAAATATTAATTTTAAGTCTAAGTGACCTGGAGAAGCGTTTTTTTATTTTCATACCTGATCCACCACTTCTCCGTTAGCCAGTGCTCTCCTTCTCCCCTACACTCTGGCAGTGGTCTGGCTATGGCTGGCTTTAAATTTGATGATGTCAGAGGACATGTGACCACTGGAGCTCAGAGAAGAGGCTGCGGGGACTAGTCTTATTGCCCGGAGGGAGCCCACAGAAGTGGATGGTCAGGAAGTAAACCTGCTTTTTGTGGCCCCCTAGACCTAAAAGAGCATGTTTTTATTTTCCTAGAGTTCAACTTTAAGTACAGATTTTTAATTGAGTTTAACATAATTGTATGGTGTTTGTATAGTTGATACTGATATTTTAAAATGTGCATTTTTTTTTTTAGGCATTTTATGCTGTTGAACATCCTCTTGATGTTCACGCTGGTGATATTCTGGCAGCCAGATGTGTTTTCACAGGTGAAGGAAGAACATCTAATACATATATTGGGTATGTTTGAAAGATGTAACAAGTTGAACGTTGTTAATTGCAGACACAGGTTAACTGGTGATAGCTGGGCCTTAGATCTTCAAAGCCTTTACTGCACAATTTCCAAACCCTAATACAACCATTCAAGCATAGAGGGCTTTAGTTATGGTCAGATTTTCTAAACAAGACTGAAGCAATTTTCCAGATTATGTTGAGAGGTATGTAGGAATTAAATGAGAACAGTCTGGAAACCCTGAATTTTTTCATTCCTACGTGGAACGGTTTGTGCGTCATGGCTTTGTACTGTGTAAATATGTTCTGCATGTTTATGTTTGAGCTGACGCTGCCATAGGAAATAATTTGTAGCAAATCTGCCTATTTATAGCCTATATAATGTAATATAATATTCTTTTGATGAAATGTTTATATGTATGCTATGAAGTGAAACATAGCTTGTAATACAATACCAATTTCTGCTTTCTTAATATGGTGTGCATGCCATATGGCATGTCCAGTATAGATTGGTATGATTGTTATATTTGTAGAAAATATTAATTCTGTGTAAAACCGAACAGGTATTTGTGACTCTAAAGTAAATAAGACCTTTTATATTGGAGATCAGCAACTAAACTGTATTATACAGTGAGGAACAGAAGTATTTGAACACCCTGTGATTTTGCAAGTTCTCCCACTTAGAAATCATGGAGGGGTCTGAAATTCACATTGTAGGTGCATTCCCACTCTGAGAGACAGAATAAAAAAAAATTCAGGAAATCACATTGTATGATTTTTAAAGAATTTATTTGTGTTGCACTGCTGAACATAAGTATTTGAACACCTAAGAAAATCAGTGTTAATATTTGGTACAGAAACCTTTGTTTGCAATTACAGAGGTCAAACGTTTCCTGTAGTTCTTGACCAGGTTTGCACACACTGCAACAGGGATTTTGGCCCACTCCTCCACACACATCTCCTCTAGATCTGTCAGGTTTTGTGGCTGTCGCTAAGCAACACGAAGTTTCAGCTCCCTCCAAAGATGTTCTATTGGATTTATGTCTGGAGACTGGCTAGGCCACTCCAGAATCTTGATATGCTTCTTACGGAGCCACTCCTTGGTTATCCTGGCTGTGTGCTTCGGGTCGTTGTCATGTTGGAAGACGCAGCCACGACCCATCTTCAATGCTCTGACTGAGGGAAGGAGGTTGTTGCTCAAAATCTCACAATAAATGGCCCCATTCATCCTCTCCTTAATACAGTGCAGTCGTCCTGTCCCCTTCGCTGAAAAGTACCCCCAAAGCATGATGTTACCACCCCCATGCTTCACAGTAGGGATGGTGTTCTCGGGATGCAACTCATCCTTCTTTTTCCTCCAAACACGACGATTGAAGTTTAGACCAAAAAGTTCTACTTTGTCTCATCTGACCACATGACTTTCTCCCATGCCTCCTCTGGATCATCCAGATGGTCATTGGCAAACTTCAGACGGGCCTGGACATGTGATGACTTGAGCAGGGGAACCTTCCGTGCAATGCATGATTTGAAACCATGACGGCATAGTTTTCTACCGACCGTGACCTTTGAAACTGTGGTCCCAGCTCTCTTCATGTCATTGACCAGCTCCTCCCTTGTAGTTCTGGGCTGATTCCTCACCTTTTTATCATCAGTGATACCCCACGAGGTGAGATCTTGCATGGAGCCCCAGTCCGAGGAAGACTGACAGTCGTCTTTAGCCTCTTCCATTTTCTAACAATTGCTCCAACAGTTGATCTATTTTCACCAAGCTGCTTGGCAATTGCCCCGTAGCCCTTTCCAGCCTTGTGGAGGTCCACAATTTTGTCTCTGGTGTCTTTTGACAGCTCTTTGGTCTTGCCCATGGTAGTAGTTGGCATCTGACTGACTGTGTGGGGTGGACAGGTGTCTTTAAAGAGCTCAGACAGGTGCTACTAAGTTAGATTAATGAGTGGAGTAGAGGTGGACTTTTTAAAGGCACAGTAACAGGTCCTTGAGAGCCAGAATTCTTGCTGCTTCTTAGGTGTTCAAATATTTATGTTCAGCAGTGCAAGACAAATAAATTCTTTAAAAATCATACAATGTGATTTCCTGAATTTTTTTTTAAATTCTGTCTCTCAGAGTGGGAATGCACCTACAATGTGAATTTCAGACCCCTCCAGTGGGAGAACTTGCAAAATCGCAGGGTGTTCAAATACTTCTGTTCCTCAAGTACCTAAGTGGGAAAAAAAGGACATCACAACCACAACAAAATATATTATTGTACCCCTAAAATTTAGGGCAATGTGTATTTGTGAACAGGGATTACACTTAATCAAGAGAGCCAACATAATTCACTTACTGCAGTCCTGTTGTCCATATTACATCGGTACTGATATTTTTTTATCAGTGAGACTATGAACGAAACTAAGCAGCTACTGATGAAATAGAGTCCTTTCTGGAAGCCAGAAGAAAATAGGACTAGATATAGATGCTGATTTACTAAAACTGGGGAGTGCAAAATCTGTTGCAGTTGTGCATGGTAGCCAATCAGCTCCTAACTTCAGTTTGTTCATTTAAGCTTTGACAGAAAAAACTGGAGCCCGATTGGTTTCTATGCAGAGCTGCTCTGGAATTTGTACTCCCCAGTTTTAGTAAATCAACCCCATAATATCTTCCTTTGTGTTTTTGGATTTCTGTGTGGCAATGATTGGCGAATGCAGCTGAGTACAAACATACTTCCCCTATTCTTGTGAGCAAACCGAGAGTGGTGAAACGTGTCATGGAAGGTTGGTTCCCAAATGGAGACATCATTGTATGCAGTTATTTTGTTGACTAGTAGTAAATATGGCAAGAGTAGCTAAGAGTGGGGTGCGACTGATACCTTTTCTCATATTTCTGATGGGGAGTAGAAATGGATCTTAGTGGTTGACACCCAAATTGTCCATGTACAGGAGGGTCGAGTCTTGAGCAAATTTTTGGACTTGGGTATGTTTTTGTTACAAATATACTACAGCTGAATGGGAAGAACCTTGTGTATGAACCTGTTGAAGTTGTATAAAGCCCATCCATGTCTGAACATTAGTAGCAAGATGCTTATTTTACTTGTATTGCTGATGGCACCTTACTTCTGATACTTATTTTCATTGGCTTTATTGATAAATGCTTTGCTGCTTTTAAGCGTTCCTCTAACTCTAAGAGCATCAGCACCTGAATCCTTTGTGCACCCAAGTTCCATTCTTTAGGTCTCGATAGACAGACAAATGTTGCCCAACTGTGACAGGCTGTAGTCATGATGGGTACCATCAGGCCTCAGATACGTCCAGATGGTGGATCATAGGTTTTTTTTCTATGCAGTTGGCTGTTTTTCCAAGAGACAACTGTGTACTTGAGCACAAAGACATGTTTGCTCATAATGTGTGTGTATGGCTGCCAGAGAGTAGAGTTTTTATTTTGCACTTCGATTTTTCCTGACATCTGAGTGTTATCCGCTTTTCATTTGCAGATGGATAGGTTGAGATCATGGTGAATGAGTTCAGATACAGTGGCTGCGATGTAGGTGCTTCTCTCTTGCATGTACTTCTAGACGTGTATGCTTTGAATATTTGGTTATTGTAGCTGTAGTTTGTGTTTTCCATTGGCAGACCTATTCTCCCTCTTTGACTTTATACTAGACAAATCGGTGAAGGGTTATGGGTCAGTAGTGTCCTCTGGGCTTTGTAAAAAGTATTTTCTTTTTTTCTTCTTTTTTTATTTTCTTCCCATATCTGTTATTCATAAAAAAAGGAAGAACATTGTGTTGCCAGCTTGCAAGAAGCAGAAAATCAATAGTATTAAACCCGTTATTTCAAAGCTTTGTGCCAGAAGCTTGTCTCCTGTGGCCGTGGGTGAGATTGTGGAGAGTGTGTGTATATGTCTGCTGGTTTATGTGAGCAGGGAGAAAGCTATTAGTATGGCAGGTATTCCACGCACACATTATCATGCTGAGCCGTTTTCACAGCATCAGTAGCAAGCACATAGGTTGGCGAATGACTTGTGTGGTCTCTTGGGGGCTCTCTGCTTTCAGTGCACGGAAGAAGCCAATTCCCCTTTTGTAGCCCTCCGGTTTTTTTTTTTTTTTGTTCTTGCCTCATATCATTACTGTTGCTATGGTAAATAAGTGAATCTTGCTAGATACCACTGGAAAGGACAGCACTGGCATATTTTTCACAGCAGAGAAATATCCTCCCCCATACTTCCTCTAGCAATCCCAGCAGAGCCAGTGGATAGTCTGCTTTTCAATATATAAACAAAAAGATGTTTTTTAGTCTTTGCACAGGAATACAAAGTATCTCTAACTCTAATGATGCCTGGAAGTTTTTATAGTACAGTAAAACATGTTTACTACCTTCCAGGAAAAGAGTACCTGTTAATGCTTCATTTAATTACAATGGAACTTTACCAATAAAGACCTGATAAAATGAATGTTCTTTATCAAGGAGCATACATTCCATATTAATAATTATGCTACCATAATTATTGTGTGTTGTAAATTGCTTCCAACATTGTTCCTGTTTCTTCTCGCTAGAGGCTGCCATTTTGCTGAAGCCAAGAGCCCCTGAGCAGCAGTAAATCTTTAGGCTGTCAGCTGATTGGCCTCTAGTGGCTCAGATTTTTTTTAGACACAGTGCTGAAAAATAGAGAGCAACTGAGCATGTGCAGAGCAGGGTGAGGCAGTGTTTTACCGAATTTAACCCTTTTCGCTGCCAGGTCCGTCATACGGTCCTGACAGCATGGCATTTTACTCACAATCCAGTGGCTGCAGCCACCGGGATTGTGTCTAAAATTGACAGGCAGACTCCTGGCTGGAAACAGTCGGGCGGCTTCCGGTTGCTTCCACAGCTCCCAGTAAAAAAAAAAAAAAAAAATGAAAAGAAAAGAAAGTAATTCAAGTATACATTGGGGTCACCTACATGTGAACATGTCCACTGCGATACACATGTAACATATCACCGCGCACACCAGAGTGAGAGCAATAATTCTAGAACAAGACC